GAAATGGGTTACAGGAAGCAGTTTACCAGTAGGGCTCTTCCAACTCTACTCCTTGTGACTTATAGCAAGGGAGTGATCACACAATTAAGAGCTAACAGCAGACCTCAACGGAAGTCAGCTTTGGTGGAGCTGAGCCCCAGGAGTGATTACTGTACCTAGAAAAAAGGATGCATGAGATAGCCAAAAGCTGAACCTCAGGACTGGTATTTCAGTATTGATCTTCAGTACAAGCATGTGGAAAGATTCCAGAATTCCCTATAAACAGATCAGAAGACTAGTTATCTTCCTATGCCATCACCCAATGGCAGGTGTGAGGACTCCATGAAGAAAACAGTATTTTGTTACCCCTGTCCAGCTTCCAGTAAGGTACAGCTTAGGAACATCCCAAGACAGTAGTGTAATTTAATTTTTAACAGCCCCTCATAGAATTTTGCCTCACATCTTTACTGACCTGAGAAACTGTTGTTTTTATTTAAAACAAAGTCTAAAAGTCAGGAGGACCACTTTTAACTATTTGGAAAAAATCCCTACCAATCCTTTCTGCTTTTTTCATCCCTTCCTCCCCACAAAGGTATGTTTTTGGGATGACTGTAAACAACAGTCACAGGAATAGCAGTTTTGTGTATTTTGGCTTTTCAAAAGGCTTTGTAGGCAAAAGATCTCAATGTAGTTTAGGGAACCAGCAGTGGTACTGGCATCATTAGGCTGAAAAGTATTTTCTTTATAAAATTTATATATGTTCTCACTTACTCTGCTTGCTTGCTTTCTTGGAAGAAAAAGATTCATGATTAGAGGGAGGAAAAAACCCTTCTGTGACTGTGTAACAGAATCCATGCACAGAAAATCTAGATTACCCCCTCCAGGCTTAAGACGAGCAAGTCTTTCTCTACTTTTGGCTAAGCAAGACTTCTGCACTGCTCCTGCCCTGTCAAAATTAATAGTTGAAGCTGATGCCTGTACAAACAACACCGAAGAATGGACTGAGTCCAAGCAATTCTGCTCTGATACCCAGGTCTCCAAGGAGAATACCCAAATTGCAACACCAGGGTCTACACCACCTATCCACCCAGAGCGGCACTGTACATGTCTCTACCAGCTCAGCAATTCCAGCTATGTGAGAATATACAAAGAGATATAAAGCCTTGAACATACTCTGGCTATAACCACCATTCAGGAGCAGCTGAGAGTCCCTCACAGGCTGCTATTTACCCAGGAGAGAGCCCGTAAGAATTTCTTTCCTTTGGACTATCCAGGCAGGATCACAGGAGACAACAGAGCAGGTTAGACAGGGCAGACAGTTGATGAATTAGCACACAAATATGAAAACAGAATTTTGTCACAGCATGAATTTATCAAATAGTATATTCCCCAGGAGCTTATGCTTTTAAGAAACCCAAAGTAAAACAGAGTTCTGGATGTTTCCTTTTGACAGACTATATTTCACATTTTGTTCAATAATCTTGGCCCTCTGTAATTTTTTCAGCCAAAATGTTCAGACTACTGTGCCAAAAATCACACTTAAAACTCAAAATTTAAGGAGCTGAATCAGTGTCTTGCTTTTCTCAATTTCTACTCAGAGAGTTGGACTGCTATTAGTGCAACAAGAGATGAAGGTACCAATACTTGCAATATTTCATGTCATGAATGAGTGAGGAGCTTTTACAAAGAGAAAAAGACACGAGTGAACAAATCTACATGGAATACATAAGTGTTTATCCTTCACAAAGGCTGTTACAGAAATTTAGGTTGCTTTTTATTAAAGCTTCTTCCAAGTACGACATGTTGCAGCCATTAATAAGACCACAGTCAAAAAGGATGGATACTTACCCATAATGTTGATTGAGAAAAGTTATTCTCAGCAAAATGGTTGAATCTCTTCTCAGGTCATCTGTACACACAGGCACACTGAACTGTTGGCTGCTTTATGAGGAAATAATTCTAAAAGAACAAGAGCTCTTGACAATGTCACCAATGCATAAAAGTAACCAGCTTTTCTTTCAGTAGGAAACACAGAGGTCATTGCTTCATTTGTATGTTAAATTTATACCGTTCTAGTTCTGAAAGGTCTTTTTTTAAATTTAAGAATGTTTTCAGTAGAAAAGGCCTATTACCACTTTTCTCCAATCTTCAAAGCATCTTCAACCAATCACAAACTTTTCTCCTGAAAATAAGGCTGATTAGCATATTTACATGTAACAAATGAAGAAATCAGTTTCTGAAATTAAGACTAATTGATTGTATGACAATTTGTGACTTCAGGGTATAATTTCTTTTATTGGAGCTGGGAAAAGCTCATGAGAAACAGCACCACCAGCAAGTGAGGAATTCCCATGGGGCAGGACTGTACAAGGAGCTTTCAGCATAACTGAAAGCAAAGGTGAAACATTCTGGACAAGGAAGAGCCAAGTCTGCAGCATCACAGCTGCATTCTAGTCAAGAGGCTGGTATAACATTGCATTTTGGGGAAAAAAGTGTACATGTTCCCATGATTCAGAACTGCAGCATAATACATATGTGCAAGAAAGCTGAATGTTACAGATGACTGAACTGGCATTTTTGCGTTGCAGTTGCATTTTTTCCGTGATCACGTTTTAATGCAAGATACTTAGAAATGTAAAATGACACAGGAGATGAAGCAAAAGAACTGCAACGCAGGATTTCCAAGTTTTACTGAATTACCAGCAAAATGGGACATCTGGCCAATTACCAGCAACAGCCCATCCCCTGAAATGAGATTATCTGGCAGCAACTCTAAAGTCTACAGTAGTGTATTCCTCCCTTTTAGGCCTTAGTTCCTAGGGAACACTTCATCCAGTTCGACTTCCAACCTCATGAAGCATATTAAACCGTCTTAAAAATAAAAGAGCCAAAGGCAAGGAAATTTCTTTTACATTTTATAAGAAGTAGGAAAGGAATTCCATGTTTGTCTTGCATGAGGTCTCTACAAATACTTTTGGAGACCAGAATTTCTGCTTCTGCTAGCAGAGCCAAGTGGATGGAGATTCAACTGGGACTCGTGTTGAAAAGAACAGCCCAGTCTTACCCATTCTTTTTTTCTGTACTGAACTGCACAGGGAAAACACCAACACCACACTGGAAATATTTCAAATAGGAAAAGAGAGATTTCTACACTTTAATTTGGGACAGGGTTTTCCTCCAGCAGATACAGCAATCCTCCCATTCATTTTGTACCATACCATACATGTGTGGTAT